TGAAAACATATTATTATTTTCCATGTATTTCTCATTCAAAATTGCCAAGACCAGCTCTGGATATGCATCTGCAGTGTTCCATACAGAACAATTTGCACCAGATAATATGGATGTTTGACTACTTTGTTAAGTCAAATTAGAGATGGAAAAACAATCCATTGTAGGGAGGGGGGGAAACTAAAAACATAAGGCTTTTGCTCACTCTTGGATCTCTTGCTAATGTTTTGGGTTAAAGAGGGATTTTACGAATTTGGGAAATTTCTTATACATTTACTCTAATGCAGCGGTCTCAACCTATGGGTCGTGACCCCTTTGGCGGTCGAACGACCCTTTCACAGGGGTCACCTAAGACCATCCTGCATATCAGATATTTACATTACAATTCATAACAGTAGCAACATTACAGTTATGAAGTATCAATGAAAATAATTTTATGGTTGGGTCACATGAGGAACTGTATTTAAAGGGCCAGAAGGTTGAGAACCACTGCTAATGTGATAATCACTTAAAATTGGAGTCAGAGCCTGGCTGGTGTGGTTCAGTGGTTGAGTGCTGACCTATGAACCAGGAGGTCACAGTTTGATTCCCGGTAGGGGTTGTGGGCTGATCCCCAGTAGAGGCGTGCAGGAGACATCCGATCAATGATTCTCTCTCATCACTGATGTTTCTATCTTTCTCTCCCTCTCCCTTCCTCTCTGAAATCAATAAAAATTATTTTTAAAAATTGGAGGGAGAAAATCTTAGAAAATCAAAATTGACCTCTGTGGCTGTTATCTGGAAGAAGGATTCTCCTTTACCCTTCTAGGCTCTCTGGCTGCATTGAGAATTAAATGGACATAAGAGATTAACAGGATAAATTTTTAATTTTCTATATATGGGGCTTCATAAGAATATGAAGCCCATAGATGGTCAAGCAATTGGGGCCTATTTGCCTTTCTGAACCCAGGAAAAGGGGTACAAGTCTGGGACTTCAAAAGGAAAGCATTTTATATGGAGATGATAAATGTTTGTTGGGCCATGTAGAGATAATGAAATGTAGAGAGGACTGTGGTCTCCAAGCCCTGCCAAGTCTCCCCTCCACAGGTAGCCATATTCTCTGTGGTTATCTCTGGTGATAGCTCTTCTTCCTGGGATAGGCCCGCTAGCTAAATTCCTTTAGGCAGTTACGAGGGAGGTAAAATGCTCTTCCAGAGCCTTTTGTTTCTTAAAAACAATCAGCCTAAAATGATCTCCTGCCAAGGAGACATATTTTGAGGTGGCAAAACCCTGCTTCCCTGTACCAGGGTCCTTAGATGAATTACGTTTAGGATGACCCAGAATTTCTAGTTCTTACCTAAGTACGTCCATGATGTAAACATGATCAAACTTCAATTATATGCTTATGCCCAAATCTATTTGTAACCTTTGTAATGGGTTCATTGTAAACAAGTTGGAGCTGGGAAGAACCTTTATGATGACATAGTGACAGAGGAGAAAAATTAGGTCTAGAGAAGGAAGTGGTTTACTCATGATGACAGCTAATTTGTGACAGAATAGGACTAGAACCAGAAACTCCTCTCCTATTTCATGTACTCTAAGTTGCATCTCTTCAATTTTATAGGCAGATACGGAAAGCAGATAATTACCTCTTTTCTTTGTACTACTTTAAGTAACGCACTCATGACAAACATTTCCTGAAAAATTTAACTTGAGAGATCACTTCCTTACAGTTAGGTATGTATAAGTTCATTGCTTATGCCGAGGAAAGAATCTGTGAGGACAATTCATGCTTTATTATAAGCATTCTACTGTAATACCCTTTCTGCGGTCTAGGGAACACTTCTATATGTCTATTTTATTCTATTTTGTTTGTTAAACTTAAAATTTAGTGCTTAATCCATAATTTAGAAAGATTCATTGAAAGGGAAATATTTAAAGCTTTTTTTAATCTGTGGAACAAAGAAAATGATCATCAAATAACGGCCTGAAATATCTACGGAACATCACACCCCTTTTTGGAAGGGATTAAGGACTATCACAAAAAGAACAGAAAAAAAAAACTTTTGTTTTCTGATAGTGAATAATATTAAATAACAATATTTGTTTGGCTTAACCTTGTGTCATTTTGTGCATACCTCACAGTTTTACTATACACTGTCATACTATGCCTCAGGATGCCATTCCCAGTTGAATGTTTCTTACATAAGTAAAGAGAAATCATAACTTTATGAATGATGATTGATATAGAAAATGTGCAGCTTAGAATTTGGCTTTTGGGGTTTGATAGCATTCTGATTATACACTGCTAAGGTTTTTCTCTTGTTGAAATCTGTCTTCCTTAACTCCATCAACACCCTTCCTTGAAATACTCTCTCTTCTTTTCCCCCTATCTTCCACTCTCCTTTTTCAAGTCCTCGCATATGCTAGTTTTTATGTGTTCCCCTTTGTCAGTCTTATTTGACTCCCTTTATTTCCTTCCCTTGACATTTCCTTATTGAAGAACCTAGATGCTGGGGGATTAAGGGCTCAGAATTCACAGGATGGCTAAAATAGATAGGCTTATCACAGATTGGCACTGAAGCCAGTGACACATTACTCGTACCTCTGAAGTGGAAATGACTTTAGAGTTTGAAATAGGTTCTCTTAATTTTTCTTAAACTAAATGCAGTATGGCTTTATTGATATGGCTTACAGTTCTTTGATTCAGGTTGCTAACAGAGACACCCCAGGGTTTTCTGGATTCAAAGTGGGGAAGGTAATAGGGAGATAGGAATGATTGAAATCTTTAAAGAAGAGTTGGCAGATGCACAAAAGAGAACCTTCCTATCAACAAGAAAGAGAGGCCCTGAACCAGTTGGATGATAGATCAGTACATAGAGGTGAGAGAAATCTCAGGTAAGGTATGTATCTTTGATGGTACAGGAAAAATAGGCTTAATAATATTACTACTCACTTCAGAACTCTTTGCCTTGTATATAAAGGAGTTTAAAATTAAAGGTCGATTGACTTGATTATTAACAATAGGAATGAGTTTAAATAATCCTTCAGTAAACATCTTAATCTGATTCCTCAGTTGCCAGAAAAAGTTTAAGCCCTTTACCAACCCACTGCTGGACATTGTTGGGTATGGCTCTTCTCTTTTGTTAATCCCCCCGCAAGGATATTTTTCCATTGATTTTCGGAGAGATTGGAAGAGAGGTAGAGAGAGAGAGAGAGAGAAAGAGAGAGAGACATCAATATGAGAGAGAGAGAGAGAGAGAGAGAGAGAGAGAGACATCAATGTGAGAGACACACATTGATTGGTTGCCTCCTGCATGCATCTGGACCTGGGCCAGGATTGAACCTATAACCTAGGTACATGCTCTTGACCAGGAATTGAACCCATGACATTTTGTCCCAGGGCTGTTGCTCTAACCACTGAGTGAAACTGGCCAGGAATGACTTATCTTTTAAAGAAAATATTCAAGTACAGATGACACTTATTAACACAGGGACTTGTCCAGAAAGGTTTGTGGGTAGCCTGACAACGCATTTGTTTCCTTGTTCCTTGTAAATAAATCCATGTTATCAGAAGCCTTTTCTTTTAGATTCTTGTGTTCTTCAGAAGATTGTACCTTGATTTATTAAGATAAATCACAGACAATCTTTGGGGTAAAGATTGGCATTTAAAAAATACTCATAACCACTCGACTGTGTTGTTGTTGTTTTTTAAGGAATGAAATGGGCTTGTGGAAAATAATAAAGCAATACTTAATTTATCGCACATTAAGACAGATGCTAACCGTACAGGGAACAACAGAGACTACGATGTCCTTGTCCCTTTTTTATATACAGTATTGACTTACTGTTTATTGACCATGCTTTGTGTATCATTTTCTAGGCAATTATATTACTAATCTTATTGTGCTTTATATAGTAGAACTGACCTATTCATAAGCACATTTTCAGGAAAATAAAGACAACTTCTATCATAGTTAGATCTATATAAGCTTAATTGAAACAATTTATACCTAATTTGTCTTCAAATTGCCATGGATTGTACATATCTTCCCACCGTATTGTTATTGACTGGAAATGTAACTCATAAATGGCATTCACACCCTAAATTGCCATAATCAACTCTGCTCTGGAACTGGTGGTGATAGTTTGTCATTTCCCTTTGAATACTGCCTGCCTTTATTGCAGAAATGAAACTGAATGAAAACCATGTAAGTAAATAAATGAATTGAGTGAAATATATTTCTTTAATATTATCCTATATAATAAAATTCTAATATGCAAATTGACTGAATGGCAGAATGAGCAGTTGCAATGGTGCACACTGACCACCAGGGGGCAGACTATCAATGCAGGAGCTTCCCCCTGGTAGTCAGTGTACTCCCACAGGGGGAGTGCCGCTCAGCCAGAAGATGGGCTCACTGCTGGTGAGTGCAGGGGTGGTGGCAGGAGCCTCTACTGCTTCCATGGCAGCACTAAGGAGTGGCGAGTCAAACACTAAGAAGCGAGCAGGCGGGCAGTTAGGAGTGAGGGGTCTAAACCAGCAGTTGGACATCCCTCGAGGGGTCCCGAATTGCAAGAGGGCATAGGCCGGGCTGAGTGAACCCCCTTGCATGAATTTCGTGCATTGGGCCTCTAGTATAATCTATAAGTGCCTAGAATAGCTTGCTAATATAAACTTGTTTTTGTGTGTCCTTTAAAACAAAGGTGTTTTTTAGGGGGTCACCTTTTTTTTGTCTCCATGTGTTCTCTTTTAGGTAAAGAGATTGCATGTATCACTGTTATTCCTACATGCCTGCCTCTACGAGTATACTGTGGCATCTAGTTTATTCGCACATTCTGTTCTTAATATTTATTGCTGCGTTAAAAAAATATTCCAAAACATAATGGTTTATAGTGGTTTAAAACAACAATATTGTTATTATTATTAGCAGAAGCGGTAGTAGTAGATGCTGTGTGCAGTCATAGTAGTTTATTTTATGAATTTGTGAATCAGAAATTTGGCAAGAGCTTGGCAGGGTTCTTCAACTCTTTCTGACATGGCAAAAGTCTGGGCAGCTAATGCTGGAGAACCTACTTACAAAATGCTTCTTCACACAGATATGTCTTGTACTCTTTGGTTTCTCGTAGTCCACCTGCCAGTCTGGACTCAGCGGAAAGGCGAGCTCCTGGCCTTGGAAGGCCCAGACTCCAGAAATGGAGCTGCTGTTGTTGGTTTCAAAGAGGATGACACTGGCAAAGGCGTTCTTCCTCAGCTTGTCCAACCGCTGGAACATTCCAGTCATGAGGTTGCAGCTCGTGAAGGTCTGGGTGAGCTCTTCAGGGAAGCGGTACTCGGCATACCACCGGGACCAGCCATCCTTATCAAAGTGCTCCCAAAAGTACGGCAGTGCCAGCGACAGCGTGTCCTCGTTGGAGTACTTGCTCTTGAATTCCTCCAACACAAAGGTACTCTTGGGCACGTGAGCAAAGGGGTCCTTGGCCTTGGGCTCCGCTGCCAGCGCCTGCTCACACTCGTCCATCTCCTCCTCCGGAGCAGGCGCAGCGGCCTTCTTCTTCTCCGAAAGCGAAATATTTCTGACCAAACAAGTCAGTTCAAGACCAATGATGTGGCAATCGGCTACTAAAATATTTACTGCTAGTATTAGTGGAGAGAAATAAATGGTGCACCTGCACATGCGCTTAAGGGAAATGAATGCAATACGATTATAGTAATCAGTCATTAGCAAATGTTGTAGTTCATTATTAATAATTATGTGTAACAGGATATTGTAAGAATTCAGTTATGAAATTTTTATTAAAACGTTTCTTACATACTGTTATATTGTCTGGGCTGCAAAGATTCGTTGTGGGCAGCATGTGGCCTGCAGGCTGCGAGTTTGACATGCTTGCATTATAGGGAGGAAAGGAATTAATGATGGCTATCTTGAAGACAAGCTACCACACATCTCCAAATATCTGAAGGCAACATGTATCATATTTATCTTTGTTTCTTCACTGCCTTGTATAGCACTTGGCATATGATTGGGTTCAGTAAATGAAAAAGTGCCTATGGGTGCCAGCAGATTCAAACCCCCTCCCAAATAGAGTTACTGAATTTACAGTTGCCTGGCACATGCCTCTATTTGGCATCTCTTGCTGGTATTTCAAATTCTACAGCCCCAAAGTGGAGTTCATAAAAGTAGCTTTTTTTTAGACCTAATCTCACCATTCTCCCAATCAAAATGGCTCAAGAGCTAGGGACCCTCAAGTCCATCACCTTTATAACATTCCTCGTTCATTAATGTCTGTTGATTCTACTCTTCTCTCATCTGTCCTCTTCTTTCCAGTTGTATGGCTACCGCAGTAGTTCATGTCCCACCCCCAACTTCTTCGTTTTTTTTTAACTGTTACGATACTTTTCCAATTGTTTTCCTTGTCCCCAGCCCTGACTCATGTAATTGTGTACGATGCCTGGTGCCATACACATACTATGAATATTGCCAGTTAAATTTTTATAATGCATATGCCCATTTTTTTTGAAAGTCTTATTTGCTGTCCAAATGTACGTGAACACTGAAGCCCTCCCTCACCCTTGTTAGATAACAAGTGACCTACAGGTGCGGATAGCAAGCTGTAGTGCTAGCTTGCTTCTCTTTATCTCTTTTTATCTCTGTTTCTCTCTTGGTCTCTATCTTTGTCTGTGGCTGTGTGTGTGTGTGTGTGTGTGTGTGTGTGTGTGTGTGTGTGTGTGTGTGTGTGTGTGATATTTCATCCCTGAATGTTAAGGGGGGGACTATCTCATGTGCCTTTATATCTCCAGAGCTCAACATGGCACCTTATACATAATAGGAGTCTAAAAATATGTGATAGAAATGTAAGAAAAATGAATGGTGACCTATTATAACCTCTGCCTGGATAAATCATTTATAATGGGATAGGCATTAGGGAAAACTGAACTGGAAGAGAGATGGTTTTGAAAACGTACATTCTCATCTTTCAGTGCCACAATTTCATGTGCTTTGCCCTAGCTTCTCGGGTTCCTCATTAGTAGTTCCACTAGATGGGCTTCTGAGTATCCATGAACTACATTAAGCTGTATTTAAAATTATATGTGTGTGTGTGTGTATGTATGACCATGACCAAAATGGCTAAAAGCCACTGCTCTGGGTTTATCTTTCCTTATTAAAATTAACCTTAGTTATGTTTTAGTGCCAAAAGATTTGTGAGGTCACTAGCTTGTTTATCTCTAATAACAAAATCCCATGTTATTGATATAAAATTGACATATAACATTAGTTTCAAGTGTACAACATAATGATTTGATGTGCATATATTGTGAAATGATTGCCACAATAAGTAGTTAACATTTATCATCACACAGTTATAATTTTTTTCTTGTGATGAGACCTTTTAAGATCTATTCTTTTAGCAATGTTTGAATATGTCAATACAGAATTATTAACTCTAGTCACCATGCTGTACATTATGTCCCCATGACTTATTTGATAACTGGAAGTTTATACCTTTTGACCATGTTCATGCATTTTACTCACACCCTCATCCCTTTGACTCTGGTAACCAGCAGTTTGTGTTCTGTATCTATGAGTTTGGTGTTTGTTTGTTTTTTGTTTTGTTTCTTTGTTGTAGTTTCCACATATAAGTGAGATCATATGGTATTGATCTTTATCTGATGCCCTCAAGGTTCATCAATGTTGTCACAAATGGCAGGGTTTCCTTTTGTATGGCTCAATAATATTCTATTGTATAGATGTATACCACATTTTCTTTATCCATTCATTCATCGAATGGAGTCGGGTTATTTCCATGTCTTGGCTATTGTAAATAATGCTGCAGTGAATATGGGATACATACTTTTGATTCAGTGTATTATTTCTATTATCTATAATAATAAAAGCATAATATGCTAATTAGACCAGACAGCCAAATGACCTTCTGGACGTCCTTCTGGTCAACCTTCTGGATGAAGCCAGGGCTGCAATTAATATTGTAACACTAGAGGCCCGGTGAACAAATTTGTGCATGGGGTCCCTCAGTCTGGACAGCAATCGAGGCCTACTGGGGGCCAGCTGGTCGGGGGGAGGTACCCCAGGAGGTTGGCTGGCAGGTGGGGTGGGTGAGAGGGGCCACAGGAGGTTGGCTGTGGGAGTGCACTGACCACCAGGGGGCAGCTCCTGCATTAAGTGTCTGCCCCCTGGTGGTCGGTGTGTGTCATAGCGACTGGTTGACCTGTCCTTCCAGTCATTTGGTTATAATAGTCACTTAGGATTTTATATATATGTATAGATTACCTTTCTTATATGGGAAAGGCATGGCTTAAAAGGATCTGCCTTTTTTTATTCCAGAGGGAAAAAGGGAGAGAGAGAGAGAGGAATAGAAATCTCAATGGTGAGAGAGAATCATCAATCAGCTGCCTCCTGCACACCCCACAGTGGGGATTGAGCCTGCAACCCAGGCATGTGCCCTGATCAGGAATTGAACCATGACCTCCTGGTTCATGGGTCCTCACTCAACCACTGAGCCACTCTGGCCAGGCAGGATCCATCTTTATTTGTGGTAATTTGTAGTGTCTGCTAGTATGTTGTATATATGTAAGTGGGATTTGAATCCCTGCTTTATCATATAATAGTTATCAGTTCAATCCTGAATCTTAGTTTTCTCATAAAAAATATTTAGACTATAATACCAATCTTAGAATGTTTTTTATGGAGAGTAAATTAGGTAACATATATAAATCACTTAGTAGAGCTACAAAACAAGTACATTTCTAACAAGTGTTAGTTCTCACCCAGGGTATTTGGAAAAGTATTTGGGGGCTGCTCTCCCAATCATTAGCCGAGGGAAAGTGATTTAATTATGCTGTGCCTCAGGTCTTCATCATCTGTAAAATATGAGGATGGAATAAGAAAATAGATATTACTACCCCAGGAAACACTCAACAAATGTTAGCTATTGATATTAATTTTAATGTTACAGAAGTTAAGATTGCACATTGTACATTGTGTGCCTTCTTTTATTTTTTTGACATGTAATCATTGTCATTTAACGTAAAGATCAAAATCTCCCATATTTATTTTAGTGTTTTATAAAGATTTTTCAAATGAAGGAATAACTCCAGATAATGAAGAATGGTACTTATATATGTTTTTTACCTTTTAGCAGAAATTGCAAATAGAACGTTTTATTTGCCTTTCCTTTTGGCACTTAAATCTGAATCCTTTAAGCTCTCATTTAATGTGGACTTCTGTTCACTCTTGTCTTTGTGTGAGAACAGACATTTAAGAAGAAACGACTGGAGGAAATGGGAAAGGAAAGGGAAATGGGAAAGAGAGTCAGAATTTCCAAGACTTGCTACAATCTTAAAAGTCCCCTAAACTTTTTGAATTTGTTAGTGTCGCTTTTAAAATTAATTATATTCTTTAACCAGGCTGCTTTGCGAATTTCAGAGAGAGCCATTTTGCTTTTCTCAGCTTTAAAAAGAAATAAACATTATACATATGTAAGGTGTAAAATATGATGCTTTGATATTTTGAAATACATAGTGAAATGATTACTCCATAAAGCTAATTAATATATCCATCTCCTTACATAGTTACTGTTGTGTGTGTGTGGTGAGAGCACCTGAAATCTACATTTATAGAAAATTTCTTGGCTTTGTTTTGAGTCTTCCATGATGATAACAAGGTTTCATTCTGGTTGTTGTTACAATCCTTATTCTATCCCTTTCTACTTTTATAGTGATTCACAGAACAATACTCACTGGGGCAAAGGAAATGTGTCTCCCACTGATATATTACAAGGAGCTCCATTACCATGGTAATCATACAGCTTCTTTGTTTATTTTTGTAACGAGTTACACAATAGCCTCTCCTTCCAAAGTTATCCAGGTTATATATTTCTTTCCAATTCCTCCTTCTCACCGACAAGGTCCTCTATGGCTGGGCCATGCCCCTTGCCTGACTCTGACTCCATTAGAGCCTCTGGCCATCCGCTGCCTCTTCAGAGGACTGAGCACCTTCTTCGCAGCACTGTCCTTTATCCAGCTCACAACTATCTTCCTCTTTGCTTCAACTTAAATGTTGCTTTCTTAGGGAGAACGTCCTTGATTCCCTCAGAATAAACTTCCCAGTTTTCTGTTTACCCAAGTTGTTTTTTTTAATGTTTGAATTTTTTAAAACAATTGTTTTAATCTAACTTATTTGTCTTTCACACAACTATAAACATTTTATCAATGCACACGATACTTGGCCTGTTAATGAAATTAATAGATGAAAGAAGTTGTATGCAGGGCCAGCCTGACACTAACAGTCTGTGACCCTCAAAGTACCCAGCTCAGATTGTTTTATTTTCCCTCAAAATATTTTCCCTAATGAAAAATGTAACTACTTCGCTGTTTGTGTAGGTCATTGACTAATGGCTTTCCTCCCTTATTAGCCTCTACATTTCAGGAAGGCAGAGACTCCTTGTCTTGTTTATGGTTCTCTTCCTGGCTCCTACCACAGGGCCTGAGAGTGTGGGTGGTTTCAATAAGCAGTTACTGAACAAATGAATAAGGTCTTGGAAGAATTGCAATCTAT